CATTAAAACCTCATTTAATTTTATGTGTTATAGAGTTTATAATGAGTAAAAGATTGTATAAGCGTAATAATTCAACTGTAAACCTAAAATTGTACAGCCAATTTTGAAAGACATGCATCCTAGCTCAGAAAATTGTTGAATATGTCAATGCTGATGTAATGAAATGCTTCTTCTAAGTATGTGATTATTAAATAATTTTTTAAAGTATGTGTAAAAAAAAAGTAATTAAAGACTGATTACATTCTGGAAAAAAAAGAATGTTTTGTTATAGCTGGTTATGGTGGAGCACTCCTTTAATCCCAGCACTTGGGAGGCAGAGGCAGGTGGTTCTTTGTGAGTTTGAGGCCAGCCTGGTCTACACAGAGTTTTAGGACAGCGGGAGCTACAGGAAGCAATCTGTAAACCATCTTTTCAAAAACCCGAGGGGATAAAAAAGAATGTTTTCTTAGTTTATAATAGCTGGATGATAAAGCAAAATACATTGTATACTAAATTGAAGAAAGCTGGGGAGATTGAAGTGGGGTACAGATTTATACCCACACCATAAAGAAGCATGACTCACGCTTAGTGGAGAGATCGGGTGGCCATAAGACTACTTATGTGAAGCCACAGGCAGGGAGGGGCGCTTTTCCGCCACAGGCAGGGAGGGGAGCTTTTCCTCTGGGAACTCAGCTCCTGGTATCCCCAGATCACAGGATTCTCAGCTCACTTGATCCTCCCAGCTCAGAGTATTCCTGACTCACTGTATTCCCAGCTCAAGGTGTTCAGGTTCATGGCATCCCCAGCTCCTCGATATCGCAACTGATATGGGGTATTCTCAACTCACCATATTCTGGAGTTATTCACAAACTGCGGATTTCCTGGTGCGTTGTATTCCCAACTCACCTTATTCTCAAGTCACAATGTTCCCGGCTCATGACATTCCCATGTCAGAGCATTCTGAGGTCCTGGTATTCTGAGCTGCTGGTATTCACCTGTCACCTAATTCTCCACTCATGATGCTCCCAGGTCAAGGTAATCACAGCTCACAGAATTCCCAACTCATCTTTTTCTCAGTTCATGATGTTCCTAGTTCAAGGTGCTCCCAGCTCCTGGTATTCCCATGACCCAGGATTCTGAGATCCTGGTGTTCCCAGCACATGATATTCCTAACTCATGGTATCCCTAGCTCGAAACAGTCTCAGCTCCTGGTATTCCCATCTTATGCAATTCCTAGCTCAAGGTATTCCCAGCTCATGGTATTACTAGCTCATAATGTCATTGACAACACATGGTATTCCCAACCCACCTTGTTCTCTGCTCAGGATACTCTTAACTCCTGGTTATTTCCAGCTCCAGGCATTCCAAGCTCCAGGTGTTCCCAATTCCGGTGTTCTCATCTTATGTATTCCCAGCTCATGCACTTTGACAGCTCTCCTGGATCACAGCATTCCTAGCTCCTGGTTTTCTCAGCTCACATTAGGGATTTCTAACACCTTATTCTCAGCTCACGATGTTCCCAGGTCACTGCATTTCCAACTCTCCTTATCCGCATCTCACGGCACTCGGATCCAACAGTATTCCAGCTCACAGGCTTCCCAGCTCCTGGTCCACATATCACCTAATTCCCTGCTCGTGATGCTCCAGGTCAAGATAATCAGAGACATGATTTCCCAGCTCACCTTATTCACAGCTCATTGTACTCCTGGCTCTGGGAGTTTCCAGCTCCCTGTGCACCCAGCTCCTGCTGCGCCCAGCTCCTAGTAGCCCCATCTCCCACTATTCCCAGCTCAGAGCATTCCCATCTCTTTGTATCCTAAACTCACAGTATTCCTAGCTCCGGACATCTCAGCTGATATTAACTATTCCCAACTCCCCTTATTCTTAGCTCACCATGTTCCCAACCCATGCTATTCCTAACTCACCCTATTTATAGTTCATGACATTCCTATCTCATGATTTTCCAGATCCCAGTATTCCTAGATCATGACATTCCCAGGTCCTGGTATTTCCAGCTCTGATGCTGCCAGTCCTGGTTTTCCCATGTCCTGCTATTCCCATCTCATGGTATTCCTGCCTTTCGGTATTCTACTCTCCTGGTATTCATAGCTCATGATAACCCCGGCTCCAGGTATTCCCTCAGCACAGTATTCCCAACCCACCTTACTCTCAACTCAGGATGTTCCCAGCTCCAGTATTCTGAACTCCTGGCATTCCCACCTCTCTGTATCTCAGCTGATGCTGAGTATTCCCAGCTCACCTTATTCTCAGCTCAGGGTGTTCCCAACTGCCTGTATTACCAACTCGCCTTATTTGAAACTCGTGGTATTCTCAGTTCATGCTATTCCTCACCCTTGGTATTCCTGGATCCCAGTATTCTGAGCTCCTGGTATTATCAGTTCATGGTAGTCCCCGCTCACAGCATTTCCAGCTCAATATTCCCAGTTCCTGGTATTCAGAGCTCTTGTTATTCACAGCTCAAAGTATCCCTGAGCTCTGGTATTCAAAGTTTAAAATATTCATAGTTCATGACATTCCTGGCTCTTGATATTCCTGGCTCATGGCAGTCCCTGCTCTTGGCATCCCCAGCTCTTGGTATTCCTGGCTCATGGCAGTCCCTGCTCTTGGCATCCCGAGCTCTTGGTATTCCCAGCTCTTGTTATTTCCAGCTCACAATATTCCCACATCCTGGTTATCCCATCTCCTGCTATTCTCATCTCAAAGTATTCCCAGCTCATAGTATTTCTCATGGCATTCCCAACTCACCTTATTCTCAGCCCGTAATGTTCCCATCTCATGATATTCCTAATTCCTGGTATTCTGTGATCAAATTATTCCCAGGTGTGCTGAACTCGTGGTATTCCCATCACTTCCTAGTCTAAGCTCACGTTATTCCCAGCTTCTGGTTATCTGTAGTTTATGTTAAGCATTCCCAACTCCCTTTATTCTCAACTCACCTGTTCCCAGCTCAGAGTATTCCCAACTCACCTTATGTGCAGCTCGTGTTGTTTCTACCTCATGGAACTCCAAGCTCATGATATTCTTGTTCTTGGTATGCCCAGATTCCAGTATTCTGAGCTCCTCATGTTTTCAGCCCCTGGGTATTCGAGCTCAGAGTATCTCCAGCTCCTGCTATGCCCAGCTAATGGCATTCCCGGCTCATCACAATCCTAGAACATGACATTTTCAGCTCTCAGTATTCAGAACTCTTGGTGTTCCCAGCACAGAGTATCTCCAGCTCCTGGTGTTCCCAGTTCATGACAATCCTAGAACATGGCATTTCCAGCTCTCAGTATTCAGAGCTCCTTGTATTACCAGGTCAAGCTTCTTACGACTCGTGGTATTCCCAGATCCTAGTATTCCTACCTCCTGTTCTTTCCAGCTATTGATGATCCTATCTCATGACGCTCCCAGCTCCCAGGATTTCCATCTCCCAGTATTCCCAGCTCCTGGTAATCCTATCTCTTGCTATTCTAAGCTCATGACATTCCTAGCTCATACTGTTTCCAGATAATCATGTTCCCTGCACATGGTATTCTCAGTGCATGGAATTCCCAACTCACCTTATTCTCAACTCAGGAAGTTCCCAGCTCACGG